AAAACAAATGTCAACCAATATCAAAGTCAGAATCTTCAATACAAACGTGAAGACCATCACCGAAAATGTACAAGTATTTATAAACAATTATCTACACAAGATATTGAGTATCTGTTGAATGGAAAGTATCAGCAACAGCCTACTGTATGAGAGAATAAACTAACTCCCGTCTGAGTAGGAATTTAAAAAAAAACTTTTGAAGTGAATAGGATAGAAATTAAGGAAATCGCCAAACTGCATCACGAATCAAGCGCTTACTTGGAGTTTTGAAGTGTAATGGAAAAGAGGGAAGCCAAAGACGACACGGCGTTGGGAATTGGAAGGAGACATGAAAAGAATGAATACCAACTGGAAACAACTTGAAAGGATGGTCAAGGCAGAGTTGGATGAAGAATACTGGTGAGGGCCTATGTTCCTCGACGAGAGGTAACAGATGAAAATAAGTATAAATGGCCGTATGTTGAGTAAATAGTTGTTTCTGACAGTATTCCAATAAAATAATTTTAATTTCGATTATTCTCAAACCATACTATTGAAAAAAGTTTACGAGCTATTCAGATTCGACCACAATAATATCTACAAATATTACTTTTAATATAATTGATGTTTAGAATGAAAAAATAAGACTTTACCGACAATTAACTAGGTTTCTATCTCTGGAGACACTGATTATCTATACGAAGATGAGTAATCATGGTGCTTAACCGTCTAGATTAGTAAAATGATTGGATGTTCATACATTAGCGTTCACATATTAATAGCAGTAGAACGAACTTGGATGACGTCATCCATAGTGTTGAAATGGTAATCACCAAATTGAGTTCCTGTATCCATTTGTGGACAGTTAAACTCTGTCATCGATTACAAGCTCATACAAGATAATAAATTAAGAGTAATTTTCTAAATATATCTTATATCCGACTTCATTTACCATCACTCTAATATAACGGTGTTTGTTCACTGTAGTGTTTCTACTAGCCTATCATGAAATAAAACACTGTGTGTACAAATATCCATTGTCAATAATTGAACGGTTTTTCATTATGGTAAGTAAACTATACCACAAACCATCATCAATAACTGCATTCTGGTTTACAGACTAGAAAACAAACTATAATATACACCCGTTTTTCATGATCACTTGTATCATGATGGGTGATGATTTCTAGAATAAACCGGAAATTCGGAATTAAAACGCAAAGCCGACTGTAACAATGTGATAAATGCTATGATTTTGTACATTTGTCAGTTAGATGCACATTAAAAACATACAATCTATAATGATCTGACGAGAAATGAGCAGCAAATTGCTTATCACTCAGGATTAATTTACTCTGAAATAGAATGCTGTTCAATATATCTCGTCTATACTTAATTGGAATAAAGTGTTTTGATTTGTATTGTCAGTCGTTCAATAAAAGCTGATAGAATTGGTGGTTGGACTGAGTTTACCAGAACTGCTTTAATGGTATCTATGCAGTTCACAGACTGTATCCAGAAAGATGATATAAAGATCAATTGAAATCATTTATGTACGTTACTCGAATTTCCCAACAGAGTAATTTATGATATTTCCATTTTACTCAGGTGTGTAATCCACTTAAAATGGATAGGTTTCATTTGAATGTGATAATTATACTGTAGCCCTTTGACTATATGAAGAATTCTTCAATCAATGAATTAGTTGTTAGTAGAAACCTATTTACAATGCCTCATTTCATCATGTAACGATTTCATTTTATTGCTAGGTGTGTCTACCGTTCAAACATTGTAGATAAGTGAAATATGACATGAACCAACCTCTGTTTTGTGTGTTTCGTTTACATGCGAACGGATATAATGTCTTTCAAGCGTCCATGGAAATGCATCCTTCAACCGTTTTATACATTGCTCATCAAAATGTGGCTGTGAAGCTATTTTAAATAAAGTGAAATAATGTTTTGTTGTGAGAGGATCAAATGAATTTATAAAAGGACGGAACGGAATCAGTGAGTGTGTCAACAAATACAAAGTTGATCTTGAAACAAATGACACTATCGTTCAAATCAGTGTTTACAGATCTAGTGTTCACGACTACTTGTATACTCAATCATCGTATACTTGCTTCAACACTACGTGGAGAAAGAATATATTCAATATATTGTTTAATTAATAAGCTGTTTACGTGCTTCAGAGTATACTTTAGATAATTACTATTTTAAGTTATTCCACTTATATCAATATGACTGAAAATGGCAATGATTGATAAATCTGCATTGTTTCAGGGATAATGGATTACGCTGATGGGATTTGCAGAGTATACTGGATTTGTTCATCTATGAATATGTCTACTGTTGAATTATGCAGGAAGAATACAATAGGAAGTTTTGTTTTGACTAGTAACTATTGCCTTGTTTATTTATATAGTTTCTATTGATGAATAACATTTTTATACTGGTTATTAGTGTATTTATTGATTTTGTATCCAGTGATTATCAAGTGTTTGACGTTAACTTTATTCATATGATAAAACTATGTGTTCCAAAATAAGAATTCGACTGTCATTTGTGGTTTTCTACAAATAGAACGCATCAATACTTAGCATATTAAAACGTCATTTGAAATGATCATCGAAAATTTGTTCAGTGCTGATCTACATAAACCGCTCTTGTTATTACGGTAATACTTATGAAGTGATATGCGGTTAAAATCTGAATCAAAATCCCTATGTTAATTATTTCATTCATAATCATTAAAAGTTCCGATAGTTGAAATAATGAGTCAAATGAAGCTAGACCACCATGGAAAACCTGGAAGCACTGGACGGCCGATTCCTCCCAGTATGGGACTCAGCTGTGTGCATCCACGAGCCTGCCCCCTGAGAGATTCGAACCCAGGACCTATAAGTCTCGCTCTGGTGCGCTTGATCATTAGACCACTGAGCCGGCATTCAACGGTGTCAATATCTGATAGGTCCTGTGTTCGAATCTCGCGGGAGGCGGGATCGTGCATACGCACAGCTGAGGAGTCTCGTACTAGGACGAAAAATCCATCCAGTGCTTCCAGGTTTTCCCTGGTGGTCTAGTCTCAATTGACTCATGATTTCGACGATTGAAATTACCAAATTCTCCATAAAACCCCTTCTGACATTAAATATTCATCAATAATGTGGTCTTGTATCCGATCCTTATGAATTTCCGTTCGAAATATCTTTACATGTACAAAAATATCTTTATATATTATAGTAAGTTTTAGTCAATATGTTACCATAAAATAAAATTTAGAATAACGTGTGTGATAATTACTTGAGAGTTAATGTTGTCTGAGAGTTGATCATTACTTAATGAATTAACTTTAGTATGGAAATACATTAAATGTTCGAGATGTATATCTTATTTAAAAATTATACATTAATTGTCGAAAAATAAATCTTTAAAAATGGACTTATTCTCCACATGGTAATGCTACACAACTACAGCCACTATCCTAAATAGGTCTACCATTTTTACCGTCAGAAACTTCGCTTGCATCAAATCATGATTTTGAATACCGTATATGTATTCGGAAAATGTAGTCAAGCATTTGGCAGACCACTTAAAATACATTTGAATTTGTGTATATTCAGGCAACCACCGGATCATATAAATTTTAGTCGTTTAATACAAACCGAATAGTTTGTTAATTGAATGTCAGAGCTAACCAAATAAATACATCAATTTTATACTAACATGAATACGAATTATTGTTTGTTCCAGTGGGACTGAGGTTCATGGATTGCAACAATTGATTAATCAAAAAATCCATAATAATGATTGTACGAAATGCACTGTAAAAAAAGACGTCAAGTTAAAGAAAAGCTTTAATGTAACTAGTATTGTGAATAGATAATAAGAAGCGCCCCCCTGTAATTTTACACCGATCAGTATCAATAAGTCCACATTATAGTTTTAGAGCGTGGAGCCGGTTATCTACAACATTTTTGTGCCAAACCAGCGTATGAAGTGTGAGATTATAGATATACCTACTGGATTTTACCCAAATAATTTAGTAAGAGCAGCAAATAAAATACGGCTGATAATTCAGCTTTATAGATCCTTATCAATAACTAAGTACAGATGAAATAGTCAAATGACATTTGTCATGTACGATACCAATGAGGAAATATAGATTGAATAATTTGAGTTTCAACACTTTTGTAAAATCCTTTTATTATATATTGGAAAACTACCACAGAACATGTATCGAAACAGTGTTGTATTCGGTAGATGTTCGTTAGCAGAGTAAGCGTGTGTTATTTTCGTGTTGTGACAAGTCCCAGAACACTGGATACGAAGTGTAGCCGGATATTATCTGTTTCATAGTCTTTGTTTACATAAATCTCCGTTATCACTTACATTGTGTAGTGAAGACTGAAATTATTATTCCCAGTCTCTGAAGAAGTTGTCCAACATGATATTGCCGACTTAACCAAGCTATCCAGGTTCTCAGGATCGACTGAAAAAGCACACAAGTTGATCGTTGACATTCTTCCTAATGATAATCTAATGCGAAATTAACAACTCTTTTTATTAGTTCTACTCAAATAAAACAAACAGTGGCCAGTTTGTTTACTTAAATAAATTTTTGAAAGTTTTGTGCTCTGCTTAGTTAAAAGATGTACATTGAAGGTATTCAGAATGACTGATAAACAGTTTTTAGTACATAATATTCACGACATGTATCATATCAACGTGTCACTTCGATGTAAACGGAAACCCGTTGATTATAAATGGCAATAAGCCTTATATAGATGTCAATGGGCTTCTTCCTATGATAAACCTAACAACATAGTATTTGATGACAAAACTTCAATGCTTTTGATGCGCTTAGTTTAAATATAAAAATTCAGCTTAGAATAAGCAGTTTTCACATGATGATACAGACATAGTTACCCAGGATTATGCTGGTATTCCTTTTCAATATACTTAAAGTTAAACTGTTATATTTGTTGTTAGTCATTAAGAAAATGAAGTACGTTTCACCTTTTGTCATTTGTTTTCATTACATCACCATAATATTCACAACGATGTTTAAGCTGATATCGTCCTTCTACAATGATTGATAGCTGCTTGGATTTTTTATATCCAGTTTGTTTCAGTAATTCTTTCAATAAATAACTCCAATCGATCTATACATGTAAATTAAAATAAAATGAAGGTGATATATATATATATATATATATATATATATTTACGAAAGGAAATGTAACAATGATTCCAAAGTGACTCGAAGTAAAAGAGTTTTGACGAATAAGTATGATGCAAGTGAATTTCTGTTTATGATCTCTACTCATTATTTGGATGTTTTGGAAATAAACAACGTTTCACCATGTAAGAAGTTTGTGGGGACTGTTAGATTTCGTAGATTACATTTCCAAATAATCTCAGTTATATAACAATCGAAAAATCATGTGGTTCTGAAAAGCTGTTTCCTTATAGTATAGGATATCTGTTCAATCCACATTTAGTGGTTCATTAGGCTAAAGAATAAATACTTGCAGTGAGATCTGCATTTTACCGTCAAGGTGCCGTAGACGTGTATTGCTGTGGCCGATTCTCAGTTAAAAGAGCTGTTCACCATATTAAGGATTTCTAGGTATGGTCAGTTTATGATGTAGTCAATGAAAATAAGTATCTATCTCATAACACATGTGGGTAATTGTTAACCTCACTTGAACTGTATTACGATATTAATGATATTATTCAGGAAAGTTTTGAAATAAAATTTACCTGAGGACAAATGGATTTCAGTTCTTTCATTGAAATAATTTCATTGAATTCGCTCACATGAAGTCCTTGTGTAATTGATATCTCCTGAAAATTCTTCATAAAGAAATTGCATTTATCAAGGTCATGGGTAATTCCTTAATTTTAACTACATATTGGAGTAGGGGAAAGATGAGAGAAGTCATGAAAACGGGCTACTTTTTCATAAAAAAGCATTTGGGTGAATGTTTTTATAATGATTGCTACTTGGAATATTAAAATATTACAGAAATTCCTCATAAAACCCCTTCACACCCATCTTCGTACTTATATATATATACCTAGATTGTGTGTTCAAGTAACGATGACTATTTTCGTTACTTCTTTTGATATTTAAGGAATAACAACTATTAAGTCACTCTGTTATTTAGTTATGTTTCGGTAAATTTAATGAAACATTCTTCTTCGATATAAATATATATAATATTTCATGTGATGCAATTACATGCGCATACTGAGTGGTTCTTTGTGTATTAGTTTATCTCTTATTATGAAAATATTTCATAACAAACTCTAACTACATTTTTGTGTTTCATCTAGTTACAGCAGATCTGATTTGTGAAAATAAGTAATGAGGAATTGAAACCCAAGTAAAACCGCATGAAAACTTTGTCTTTTAAAAATTTCTCGGTGTTGATATTAATTTCTTAGCCTCTCATCTTCACTAATTAGTAAACCAGTGAAGCATTAAAGATCAATGAACAATTTTATTATTAAATCCAAAACATTCTAGTTAACCACTTCTCAACAATCAGTAATGAAATAAATTACTTCTTTATTTCAATGAATCAATAATGAGTATTAACTGCGTGACATAATCTCTTACAGTGATAGAACTTTAATAATCTATTGTGATAATTAAAACCGTGAAAAGTTCAGATGTTTTATGGTGGCTGGATTATCTTTTGCATACACAATAGAAAAATACATTGAATTTATCTCATAGAACACATTATATATTTCAACAGTTGAAATCATGAGTAAGTTGAGGCTGGACCATCATGGAAAACCTGGAGGCACTGGACGGCCGCTTCGTCCTATTGTGGGGCTCCTCAGCAGTGTGCATCCACGACCCCGCCCCGCGGGACTCAAACCTAAGACCTATCAGTTTCGCGCCAGGTGCTTGACCAACTAGACCGTTGGATGCCGGCCAGCTCAGTGGTCCAGTTGGTTAAGCGCCTGGCGCAAAGCTGACAGGTCCTGGGTTCGAATCCCGCGAGGCGGGGTCGTGGATGCACACTGCTAAGGAGTCCCACAATAGGAAGAAACGGCCGTCCAGTGTTTCCAGGTTTTCCATGGTGGTTTAGCCTCAATTGACTCATGATCTCAACTGTTGAAATTACTACAATCTCCACAAAACCCCCTCTGATACAAATTTATTTGGCATTTGAAGATTTTATGGTATTTTCACTGTTGAAGTCAAAAACTGATCTTAGCTAGACTACTATTGAAAACTTGTAAGCACTGAGCGGCCGTTTTAACATGGTGTGGAACTATATGTTCACTAATGACTAGCTTCAAGTCGTAACTCTTGGGGATCTAGTGACAAGACGTGGCCAGTAGTGTTCAATATGTGCTTGATGTAAGTCAATTATCCACCTCAGCGGTGGATGAACGGTTTCCCAAGATCATGGATTTAGTAAAGTTAGACATTGACACCCTCAGATGCCGCGAGGTGTAAAGCACTCGTGCATAAGCCCTATGGTCCTGAGTTCGATATTCGAATGGAAATTTGTGGATGTGCATTGCTGAGGAGTCCCATATTAGAACGAGACGCCAATTTAGTGCTTACAGGCTTTCAATGGTTGTTTGGCTAAGGTCAGTCTGTGCTTTCAATATCGACAAATTTATTTATAACAAAACTCACATTGCTTAAATCGACCAACATTTGAAAAGCAATTGTTAACTGTGATTGCTCGAAATAAGGTACTCCTATTCCAAATGCAAGCTTGTAGTAATCCTCTTCCGATTTATCCATATCAGTCTGTTAAATAAAATTTGGAATGTCTTTTACTCAAACTGAAATATAAATGTAAAACTGAGTGGATGAGACATTGAAATGCACATTGATTTAAGACGGAATTTATCCGTGAAATATTTATGATCGTTATTCAAGATGTTAAAATATCTCTTCTATTATGACTTAACACTTGTCGATTGTTCTGGTTGAAAATGATGATTCATTAATTATTCTACCATGTGTTAGATTAGGTTATATCGTGATAAATACCGAACTTCTTAATTGAAGACATTTAAGTTTCTACTGTGACAGTTCAAACTTAAAATTTCTTATTTTATTAAAAAATTTAGCATTAGTATAAATGGGATTTTTATTAAGATGAAAAGGGACAAATATTTACAAAAAAGGTGGTTATTTCACATTGTAAGTGTGAACACTTATATAACTTCAGATATGATATCAATATAGTTTGAAAGTATTTTATCATCCTGAGTTGTTTATAATGGTATTAATGTTATATTGTTTATAATGCATATTATCACATCACTTTGTATGCTGATATACTTCTGGATTATTTTCTGTTTTGTACAACAATTCGTTATCAGTATCTGTGTTAAAACTAGCATTATCTTGATCTCTTGTTAGTTGACAACTATCTCAAAATGATATAAATTAGCTTGATAGCGAAGAACAACTATCGATATCAATCATATGGATTCTATAAACCAGATGAAATGAGTATTTAATCATTCTATTAAATAAAGCAACAATGTCTTATTGGTTAATTTTAATTTGATGTTTTAACAGCACAACTATAAAAGATAGTGAATTGAAGTTATCTTTAAATTACTTAAAAACTACCAAAATTTTAAATAAATGTAACATTTACCTGTATTGAAGCAGGATTTAATCCTATCCGACCTGGTGAAATCTGATTATTGTAGTATGATAAAATATAATTTAGTGGATTTATGAGAGAGAAATAAATTATTAATGGCTAGAATAATACAAATGATAAGAAAATGAATTGTTTAATATCAGATGGGTTTTGTGGAAATTGTAGTAATTTCAATGGCTAAGATCATGAGTCAGTTGAAGCTGGTGGTCTAGCTACTACAATTACTACAATCTCAACAAAACCCATCTGATAATAATCAACATATGCTCACTAGTGCCTGTCTTTGAGAGCTATATTCTGGAGTTCTAGTGAGAAGTAGTGACCAGTGGAGTTCAACCAAGTCTGTTGTGAGATAGTAAGTCACTGAAGACAATGGTGAATGTGTCGCTCAATTTCGTGGATTAGTTGAAGTTAGACATTAACACCGTTGGATGCCGGCCAGTTGAATGGTCTAGTGGTTAAGTGATCGCGCGCGAAACCAGTAGGTCATGCGTTCGAATCTCGCAGGGGACGAGGTCGTGGAGTCCCACAATAGGACGAAACGGCCGTCCAGTGCTTCCATGTTTTCCATGGTGGTCTGGCTTCGAGTGACTCATGATCTTAACCATTGAAAAATGACTTGTGTCAATCATATTTTTGTCATTATTACTGAAATAGGACATTGTAAAATGTTGATTTGGTTCCCTGTTTCCCATGTGTAATATAACAAATTTATTTATCAATAGATTACGATGAAGTTATTTATTTATTTATTTATATGTAAAAATGATCTCATAGATTAGCTTTTGTTAAATCTAATGAATGTTCATGTTAAATCTACTAATCTTTGTTAATCAAATTGAGCTATGAGAATATACTGTAATACAGTTTTTCTGACAGTTATTTATCATATTACATGACTAAACAACTTTATTCTATTTAGAATGCCATCCGACCAAACGTATTTCATTTTTCATTGATTAGAGTTTGCTAAGATACTAGCGGTGAGCAGTTAATGACTATATGAATCAAAGAATATCAGCACTCCATTATTCAATGTAGCTAGTTGATATTGTGTAGAACATTTTAAACAACATTAAACGCGAAAGAATTTCATGCAACATCATAAAATATATTTCAATGGTAAACATACGACACAAGTAGACAGATTTTATTGCAAGCGTTTAGATTAGAATGTCATTATAACTATATTTTACTTTTCTCATGATTCATAAAAATCACATCACTTTGCGAAACGAAACAAAAGATCAACTGGTGATATTTTACTGTTTATGAATCACAGTCAAAGTATCACTTGCAAGGTAAACACAATTGATATGAAGTTCTTTTTTTTGTAGTTTTTCATGTAGAAAAATGTGAGATGGGATACATTGTTCTCAACTACTGGTTAAAACAAATAGATCATTTTTTGTTACAGATATATTTTGTGGCAAATCACAAAGAGGTGCCATTCACATTTAAAGAGTTGGAATCAAGTAGTTTTTTTTTATCTATTTTGTTTCATTGTCACTTTTACGATTGTGAATTGTAAAATCTCGAACAAACCGAAAATGCTGCATTACAACATAATGCATATTTTCACTAAAGAATCACAGTAATCTTACTGTAAAGTTTCCAGATAGACATGAATTATGTAAAAACAATTTATAGTAGTGAAAGGAAGAATGAGATTTAATTGTAATTGTTATAACGGTTGGGTTTTCAACGTTTAAACGAATGGGATGTTAATTTACCTTAGACGAATATCTACATTAGATTCCCTCCCAGTGTCTATCCTGCAGGAATTCAACACAACTCAGATCAAGAACACGTGATTAGCCTGACTTGAACGTAAATATATTTCTACACCTAAAACCCGACACAATCCAACAACAGTGAACAATCAACAATAATAATTATAAGGATACGAAAATATATAACTCATCTAACATCTGTCAAATTATCAACATTTCTGACTAGGCATACAACCAATCATTATCATTCTCGCCCACACATCAGGAATTTCAGATGTTGTAAGACAATCGATACCCCATTCAAAACGCCATAACGACTAACACTGAATATTTTGATGCATTATTAGGGGTTTTGATACATTTCGAGCTAATGAGTTTTAACAATTTTTAAAATTAGATTTATGAAAGAAACACTTACATTTATGGCGAATATATCCTGCTTGATATTTATTGAAAATAAAAGTGAACTTCCAGTTTGACTTATTATTGGTAGAAGTAGATCAGTTAGACTCATTTTTCTAGTGTCTGTTGAAATTGACGGTATTAGTTCCCATCCACCAAATAGATCACGTATTAATGATTGATAAGCTAATTGAGCTGTTTTCCAGTTACGAGTGAATACGCAAGATTTGTAAAACTTTCGAGCATTCTGTAGATGTGAATCTTCTATGTCGTAGGACTCATCAGCTTCAACATACCCGTTGTTATCATAAAATAATGTAGATTGAACAAACAAATTTCATTTGATTAAACAAAGTATCTGATTGAAAAAACTATTGTCTTTTACTTCATAATCCCCTATTAACTATTTTCCTGAACTTTTCACTTTAAAATAATCTATTCCCATTGAGAATAACTTCAATCACTGATATTCTGATATAGAACATGACTACTCATTCACAACTGATAAGGGTTTATTTCATAATGCTGCTTATTACATATTTATTAAGGCCGTATACTAAGGTTTACTGAATCTCTAGCCATAAGAAAATTTAAAACCCCTCTGTGTATTCAAACACAATTTGTCCTCACCTCAAACCTACTCTGGTGATATTTGCTAATTACACGAGTGATGAGGGTTCAACTTGTTTTCACTACTAGTTTTCGTTACCAGTGGAGTTCAACCAGGTCTGTTGTGAGATAGGAACTCACTGAAGACAATGGTGTTCGGTGGCGTAACTTCGTGGATTGGTTGAAGTTAGACATTAACACCGTTGGATGCCGGCCAGCTCAGTGGTCTGATGGTTAAGTGCTTGCGCGCGAAACCAGTAGGTCCTGGGTTCGAATCCCGCGCGGGGGCAGGTTCGTGGATGCGTACTGCTGAGGAGTCCCACAATAGGACGAAACGTCCGTCCAGTGCTTCCAGGTTTTCCATGGTGGTCTAGCTTCAATTGGCTCATGATGTCAACTTGTGGTATTACTTTATTATCTTTGTCTCCTCCTACCCTCTGTTTCCAGTCCATTTGACATTTTATTTTTTATATATAAATGTTCTAATCAAGTATAATATGTGTGATTAGATTGTTCGTAATGTATTGCGCTAATATATCACATAGTTCTGATAATCAACATCTTATTACACTAACGAGATTTATCAAAGGGACTAATTGTTTTAATATTGGTTTTAAAAAATTGGAAGCGGTTAATAACAACTGTTTACTGAACAAATTTAAACCAAAACATATTTGAGGGATTTAGGCATGATAGAATGAGGAGTTGTCTCTAAAGCGTTAGTTCTTAGAGTTCAGACTTAAATAGATGAATTGCTAAAGCCTATGGAGTACGTATAATCATAATTCGTGGACTCTGTGAATACGTTTGTTAATTCTTATGGGTGCTATGGCAACGTGACCAGAATTAAAGAGTTGTCCGTGTATTAAAATGTTTATGCTATGCACTTTTCTCCTGAAGGCAATGTTGCGTAATATTCTGTTTTGCTTTTAGAAAGAGTATGCTTAGTAAGGTTTTTGTAGTTGTTTGGATCACTTTTTCCGCAGCTATTCTATGATTTCCGGAAGATTTAGGAAGTTTCATATAGTCTAAGAGCTGATGATAATAATCCGATTTTATCTGCTTCTAAAGCAAATATTATTCAATCACTGAATTGATGACCCTTCTGCAATGTTTAAGATTCATGTATATATCATGTTGGATTGCCCAGCAACAGATTATGGCTTCATTAATCGTTATTACCACTAAAATTAAATTTAATAGTTTATACTTCCAATGGTATATTATATAGGAGTAAAGAAGTCTAAATAAAACAATGAAACCATTAATATAATGGTGTCAACAGTTTATTTTACTTTTATACTGTTCTATATTTTAAGCTTATTATTCATTTAACCTTTTTAATGTTTAGTGCATATAATTCAATCATAATTCTGCATATTATGTTTGATTTACAACCCCATATCATACACTGTGTGATAGTCATTTGAGTGTTTCAGGAACGCTAAATTTCGTATTATCTAAGACATAAATCTGATGTATTACTGATGTTTTTCACGGTACATAGAGACTGTGGGGTGAAGTTCATTTGTTTTATTTCAGAAATCAGTTGATTTACAAATGTGAACTTAGGAAGATTAATCCCTTGTATAAATTCTAAAACTTTAATAAGAAGTTGTTTTGAGTTCTGACTGAGATAATAATTCAATCAATGTTAGACCACTGTTAAAAACCTGAAAGCATTGAATGGCAGGTTGGTCCTAGTATTGGACTCCCCAGTAGTGCGATGTAAACTCATTAGCATACAAAAGTTGAGCGCTACTTGTAGAAATAGTGAGTCTTTCATAAAGTGAGTACCCTGAAAATTAGATAGACAAATTGTTAAGGAGAACGTGAGAATATACGTCCAAATTACAATGAAGCAATAGTGAGACATGACGATACGCATGACTATGAAATTCAATGGAAAGCCAGGGTGAATAATTGGGTTTCGAAACATTGTCTCTATACAGAAGTTAAGTTTACTTTAACGTATTCCTGTGAATTCAACTCTATGTAACAAATGAAACATGGAAGAATAAGGCAGTTGTAATGGAATTTTATACATAATTTTCAAAGGTAACTGTCTACTATCACCTACGTGTGCCAGAACTGAGCTTCTTATTGCTGTTTTTATCCTTCGGTCAACTATCAGGAAAGACATTCAAAAACATTATGATTAGTTTGACTAGTTACATGTCCGAGATAACTGGTGCATCAAGAACATTTGGACTGCTGAGTCCACAAGGACTTGGAAGAACTAGGCAGGTTACCTTTAATTTGAGAGTTCACTATTGGTTAAACGTAGAAGGAAGTTCATGGGCTTACTGCACTAAATAATATTCTAGGACCTATCTCACAAGTTGCATCAGACTTGTGTTGGTTCTGTTACATTTAAACTGTAGTTTCAAGAATAGTGATAGTTTTTCTACACTCTGAATAATTCCACATTATTTTCAGTTGAATAAATCTGTTTGTTAAAGAATTTTAATGAATAACCACTTCCTATCCAGTAGACCAGGGATACGTTTTGATTTATATTCGATAGTTTCATCCAATCAAATTACTCCATTACTGTTACCAGACGCCCAACTTAATTTCAGTTATATTATAACATAATGAAGTGTCATCTATATAGCTATAACAAAATTCTAACTCATTTACTACACTTCTAAAATGATTGTTTTCTGATTTCTCTTGAAATAAATTCACTAGGATTAAACCTCATAGCAACACTGTCTTCAAAACGTCCTGTCGAATAAAAAAATGCGCGTTCATTAAAAATCTTAGAAACATTTTTCCTAAAGAGGAAATAACGATAAAAAATTTCAATGTCCTGCCATTTGGTTTTCTCTATATAATGTTCATCACCTTCATTCAACATACATTTATGAACGGTGTTACACGTTGAATCATGTCGATTTTTTGTTTTCCAATGCCTTGTTTTAGAAACTAGCATGTCTTTTACTGTATTCTACAGCCTCACGCAATAACAATGCGCTTATACTAACATCTGGTACTACTGAATCTGTTGAGAGTCCCGATTGAGCAATCGAGTTACGCACAATAACGGTGTCAAATGCCAAGGACAGTGTAAACAACAGTGTTTGCAAACCTCGATCCATGTGATATTTATTATCTTTTTAAACTTACGTGACACCATGAATGGAGAACTAAATATAAGAATAATATGTTAAAATGTAGGATTGGTTAAGTAACAATATGTAATAGTCCCAAAATTGTTAGTAGTATGGAATAACAAACCGTGAGACAACAAAATGAAAGCCGATTAAACTATCAAGAAAAAATTACTACGGACAGTAACAAAACACAGTTACAAATGTAAGATAGATTATACCTAAGAAATTAAGGCGTATCCCTATAAGCATTACACATTACAACCAAGAGGTGTTTTTTTGCACATTAGAAAACGATTGATTAAGATGTAAGTTACTGAATTTCAGATAGTAGTTTGTGGCAAGCCCATTTGGCCACGGTATCATCTGTCTATTCATTGTAACTTAGACTCTTAATTCACTATGTTAATTTCGGTGTGTATGATCGAATGCATGTCTGTACATTAACTTTTAAACTATTTTCCTATTGGTTTCAACGTGCAGATAATCGATAATTTATCTACACCCGATTAACCCTCAAATATATATGGATTTTTAACAAACTCACACTCTCTCTGTTCCCATCGTGTGCTTGCTCACAATACGCTTGTGGATTATCATTATTCATTAATAATAAACTATCTCCATAACTGGTGTTCAGGCTTCTTAATAATCTCGAGTAAATCCGTAATTCTACTAGGAGATTAAGCCTACCTTAAATACTCAGTTACGGAATATTATTATTTGGAGTCAGATATTAAGGACCTTATCCACAACATATTGGTGACCCGCCTTTAGAACGCGCACCATTTTCCTCCAAAGTCTGCTGCATTCTCCTCAAGAGTATCATAAAGAACTTCATATTGGAATTATTATTATAATTAATAACAATCCATTGACAGTCATAATAAATTCACTCATAATATTTTCCCTTTGGAATTATTACTGTATATTCTCATACATATACCCAAAGTGACAATTTTTCTTTTCGGTGAGTCTTATATATATTTTTTTGTTGTTATTTTTGATTTCTCTTCATATTGTATATTACAATCCTCAGCTTATTATTACTATTGCTTTTTCGTATCATAGCACTTGATAATTCGTTAAGCCTTTCATCTAAATCTATTTCCGTGGGTGCCATCTCTGTACCTTTACCCATTTTTAATCCACGAAAGGCTGAACTCTGGTTTGCTCGTTTGGAAAGCTTTTTTGTTGCAAACAAAATCACAAACCAGAGTACGAAATTTAGTTATGCGAATTCACTGCTGCCAGATGACGTCATTGAACAAGTGCCGGATGTCATTTTTAAGCCGGATCCTGACTCACCATTCGATTGTCTCTTTTTTTTTGTTTTTTTTTTTTTTTTTTTCACCGACCAACAGACAATTGATCAACTTTTAGCCAACGTAGAGCTAGGTGACAATACACCGTCACAGTTAAAACGCCACATGACAAACTTATTAGGAAATCGTACAGTAGACAAAAGTCTACTATATCAATTGTGGCTCAGACGTCTCCCTCAAAACATTCAACAGATAATAGCAATTGGAGACGAAGACGTTGATTTTGATAGACTAGCAGACATAGCCGACAGAATTTACGAACGGTCCAAGACTCACCTTGTATCTCAAATCCAATCAAGCTCAGCTGACGAGATCGCCGAGTTACGACGATCAGTTGATACCCTTACGAAACAGATAGCTCAGATCCAATTATTGAATGCCTCCCACAGCAAGCGTAGAGGAACATCCACAAGCCGTAGACGACGTAGTCCAAGCACTACTAGACACAACATTTGCTGGTACCATAGAACATATGGCAAACAAGCTAGAAAATGTACTCCGCCTTGTAACTTTGCAAGCACACAGAAAAAGGAACGTCAAGACCGTAGGTTAATGACGACTGCACTCACTGACCACAACTTTCAAGACAGTCGTCTATTATATGTTACAGACAAAAGAACCGGCACACAGTTTTTAGTCGACACTGGGGCAGAGGTTAGTGTAGTACCACCTACTGCACTCGAGAAAAACACACCTGACCCCAAACTAAAACTACAAGCTGCAAACAGGTCTGACATCAAGACGTACGGAAAAAGGCGGTTGCAATTAAATTTCGGTCCTAAATCTAATTTTTCCTGGAGTTTCATCATAGCGGACGTCCTCGTTCCTATAATCGGCATTGATTTTCTGCAATTCCACAAAATACTGGTAAATGTCAGAAATAGGAAACTTGTCCTTGCCGAACAGAGTAAGGAAATTAGAGGAATTATATCAAATGAGACTTCCATACATTTATTAGTTAAACCTCATCATGAGAACGACAAATACGTCAATTTACTTAATCAGTTTCCAGATTTATTACGACCGAGTTTCAAACACGACAAACCGACGCATACCGTCGTACACCACATAAAGACAGAGGGTCCACCTGTGTTCGCACGTCCAAGACGCCTTGATCCCTCTCGTCTGGCTATCGCAAAGAACGAATTCAACAAAATGATTGAGTTGGGCATCATACGCCCCTCCGATAGTCCGTGGGCATCACCGCTTCATATGGTACCTAAGAAAAACTCTTCCTAAGTTAGACCATGCGGTGACTATAGAGCTCTCAACAGCCGGACCATACCAGATAGATATCCTCTCCCACATCTGCATGACTTCACTCATAGCCTATCTGACGTGTCGATCTTTTCAAAAATTGATCTCGTCCGTGCTTACCATCACATTCCAATTCATCCGGACGATGTTCCTAAAACAGCCATTACTACCCCCTTTGGACTATACGAATTCGTCCGCATGCCTTTCGGATTAAGGAATGCTGCACAAAGTTTCCAGCGTTTTATTGACCAAGTGGTACGGGGCTTACCGTTTGTGTATGCTTACATAGATGACCTACTTATAGCAAGCAAAGATGAAAATGAACATCTAACTCATCTGAAAATGCTTTTTGAGAAGCTAAACGAGTATGGGTTAGCGGTCAATCCTGACAAATGTGAGTTCGGAAAACAATCCCTCACCTTTTTAGGTCACGTACTTGATAAGCAAGGCATTAAACCAGTTCCTGAGGAAACACAAGCTATCAAAAATTATCCTTTGCCTGATTCATTCAAGAAACTACGACGTTTCCTTGGGATGATCAACTTTTACAGACGTTTTATCCCTAAATGTGCAGACTTAGCAAAACCACTAACTGATTTATTAAGGGGACGAGCTAAATCATTAGCAATGACACCGCAAGCAATTCAAGCATTTGATCAGTTGAAAAGCGCTTTAAGCACAGAGGCATTACTCGCACGACGAAAGATTGATGCACCTTTAGCAATAATGACCGACGCTTCTAACGTAGCAGTAGGTGCTGTACTTCAGCAACGTGTCAATGAACAATGGCAACCCCTTGCATTTTTCTCAAAAAAGCTCAACGCAACGCAAACGAAATATAGCACATTCGGTAGAGAACTGTTGGCTATCTACTTAGCCATCAAACACTTTCGCTACATGTTAGAAGGCAATTCTTTCACGATATATACTGATCACAAACCCCTAACTAAGTCCTTGATGCACAATCATGATAAATATAGTCCGCGCGAAATTCGTCAACTAGAATTCATTTCACAATTTGCAGCTGATATACGCTATATTAAAGGCAACGCAAATGAGGCAGCAGATGCACTATCGAGATTAAATATCAATACCTTCTCGATCCCTGATATAGACTATCAAGAAATGGCAAAGCATCAAAAGGTCGATACGGAGCTACAAAAGCTTTTGCAGTCTAAGGAAACGAAATTATTATTCCAAAACATCCCCATAAACAACAAGGACACCTTAACTTGTGATACCTCAACAGGCAAAACTCGCCCTTTTGTACCTTTCGGTATGAGACGAAATATTTTTGAGAAATTACACAATATATTCCATCCAGGTATAAAAGCCACTGTAAAGCTTGTCACAGATAGATTTGTATGGCCAAAAATAAACAAAGACGTAAGAAAATGGTCACGGGAATGCGTCCAATGCCAAAAGTCAAAAGTACATAGGCACATCATATCTCCTACCGGAATTTTTCCCGCCGCTAGCGCTAGGTTCGACCATATTCATATCGACATTGTCGGACCGTTACCGATTTCTAATGGTTACACGCATATATTAACATGTATAGATAGATTTACGAGATGGCCCATAGCTGTTCCGTTAAAAGACACGTCAGCATCAACAGTGGCGAAGAAGCTGGTGAAACACTGGATTACAAACTTCGGTGTCCCTACAACAATTACGACCGACCGTGGAACGCAATTCGAAAGCAAACTATTTCAGCAACTTACAGATACTTTCGGTATAAAGAGAATTAGAACCACTGCTTATCATCCGTCTGCTAATGGAATGATAGAAAGATTCCATAGACAGTTAAAAGCCTCTTTGACGGCCGCACGAGGAGATTACAAATGGGATATCAAGCTTCCTTTGATACTATTAGGCATTCGCTCAACCATCAAACAAGACCTCGGTTGTTGTGCTGCTGAGTTGGTTTATGGAACAACATTACGTTTGCCTGGTGAATTTTTTGACCGTGCAACAGATATTCCAGCAGATATAACCAACTACGTACAACAATTAAAACAGCAGATGGAATCCATTAGGTCCGTTAAACCACGAACCCAAAAGGTGAAATCATTCGTACCCAACGAACTAGACAAATGCTCACATGTATTCGTGAGAAATGATAGAGTACGACAGCCGTTACAGACTCCTTACGACGGCCCTTTTAAAATCATCCGAAAGGACACTAAAACGGTTACAGTGGAAAGAGCAGGTAAACATGATACAGTTAGCATCGATAGAGTAAAACCAGCATTTTTAGAGAACACTGAAAAACAGACAACTGTAAAACCATCTAAACCTGCAGCAGAGCAAGCACCATTCAAACTACCTGCAACAAGCAACACTTCAAATCGAAATTCAGCAGCAGCACAAACTACAACAAGATCAGGAAGAAGAGTACATTGGCCAGATAGGTATGTAGTAACCACCATATTTATCTAGACCAAATCCTGAGACTACTCTTATAACACATAAAAATCCTATTTTATTTTGATTACTATTTTTTTTATTGGCCCCACGGATCATCATTCTGCTTACATTTTAACTTTATACAATTCATTAATGTTAAATATACACTTGTATATACATGATATGAAACGTTTCAACACACAAGCTGTTATTACAATTTTACGCTTACTCATCATATTGAGTTGTACTTTCATTTTAAAAACAGTTCCGTTCTTTATCTCTTTGTCGAACATAGATGTTAATCCAATTTTTTTTTGGTACATAAAAACATCAATGTTCTGGATGGGAGCTTATGTGGCAAGCCCATTTGGCCACGGTATCATCTGTCTATTCATTGTAACTTAGACTCTTAATTCACTATGTTAATTTCGGTGTGTATGATCGAATGCATGTCTGTACATTAACTTTTAAACTATTTTCCTATTGGTTTCAACGTGCAGATAATCGATAATTTATCTACACCCGATTAACCCTCAAATATATATGGATTTTTAACAAACTCACACTCTCTCTGTTCCCATCGTGTGCTTGCTCACAATACGCTTGTGGATTATCATTATTCATTAATAATAAACTATCTCCATAACTGGTGTTCAGGCTTCTTAATAATCTCGAGTAAATCCGTAATTCTACTAGGAGATTAAGCCTACCTTAAATACTCAGTTACGGAATATTATTATTTGGAGTCAGATATTAAGGACCTTATCCACAACAAGTTCATAGTGTAATGTACAGAAACAGTCAATGAAAATCGGAATGAAGCAACATAACTGAACTAATTGTATTATAATATAATGCATAATAATAAATAATAAAGAACACATGACATTTAAAAGTGAAAGGAAACCATAAACGTAGATCATATGGACTAGAATTCTGTAAGATTAAAGTTTACTGAAGTAGATTAACGTTAAAAATATATATAAAGTCATATTGGAGAAGATAGGTAAATTGGGACTTGTAAATAAGAAATTTCGTCTAAATTTGGACGAATAGTTTCACAATATTTGGGCGCCGAGTTAATTTGAGACATTAAAAAGAAGAATATATTTTTAAAATTCATTCGCTGAGATTTTACAAATATATTCTTCTTTTTAATGTCTCAAATTGGGACTTGCTTATTAATAAGCTTGATAAATCAATAGTTGCAATCCTTATGGATACAATAGTAACTATTTTAAAGAAAGCAATAATGTGTGACCAATGAAATATTTAGAGATAATTCACAGTTATTATGGTTGACCAAATGATAGAAGAGAAAAATAAGACTATTTGTCATAACGTATTTAGTCGAAACTAGTCACCAACTTGATTCAGATTTATGTTTTCATAAAATTACTCCAAACCTGTCTTAGGCCTCCAGATTTCATTTATTAGATACAACTGAATTTGTGCCATACACAATTATTTGCCTTTTTTCAATTTCATTTTTTGTCGTACTATAAGAACTAATAATGACTCGGGACAAATATGATTTACAAACTCACGTGTTCGCCATTACATCCCTTCACTTAAATTTTGCAAAGATAATAAACTGAGCTCTACCCAACTTTATAGATCATAAACCACACACAAACGAAATCTTAGTAACCATGTCTTGAACACAAACGGTGCTAATGACACATATTATGCCTGAAAGACATTTTATGGAATACTAAGAAAACCAGAAAATATTTAGTGAACGTTTCGTAATGGTATGGAGCTGATTAACAATGCTCATCTATTACTCTGCTCCTGAGAGTCGAACCGAACACGTTTGGTATATCACAAAATGTTCTAATATGAATGATGTTACATTTCACTTGGCAGAAAGATATAACATATTATCATTTGTATATACAGGTATTTTGTATGAGAACCAATCCGTCGTAAATTTTGATAGTGAATTGTAGTATTTTAAAGTTCCGAGTTATTCGAAATAAAAAACCATATAAAATAATGTGTAGGTAGTATGAGAACGTTTAAAATATTTATACAGATCTACAAACATATTCAATACCAAGTGTTAATCAAACGCAGAATCTAGCAGACATATTTTGATAAGATCATATTCGACAAGCATTTTTACTATGTGGTGGTCGGTATTCGATATAATCCTCAAACTTCGCATACAGTTCGTCGCGATAACCGTTCTATATAACGTACCAACGATATATTAATCAGAAGGCAAACACGAAGTGTTGATTACGTTTATTATGAGACCACACACATATATCCAAATGTACAGATGTGTTAAACAGGCATAGAAGAGTTGTGACGAAAGGCAAGCAAGCGAGCGGGAGCCAGAGCAAGAGCGGGACGAGACCGTGCGAGCGAGTGAGTGATTGCGAGTTCAATATGAATAACATGGACATATATATATATACCATGTGAAATGAATGAGTAATAGAATCGAATAAGCGGTTAGTGGTAAGACTAGCAGACTGAATAAATGCGTAGGCAGTAATCAATATTCAAGCATACGTATTTCATACAAGCTCAAAATAATAATAAAGATACAATAAATTGTTGTGGTGCGGATGGCTTTGTCCGCTAAATAAGTTAACAAAAAGGGCTTAACTGGGTTAAATGAAAATAAACCCATTTGCACGTGAGTCGCTATAACTAAATACTGAATGACAATCCTGATTTAAAATTCTGTAGTCTCTTCCTTTATAGATACATTATTTTGGAACTACGATTTTCTAACTTCTTGAACTGTCACTCAGAACACAGTGCCATAATAATATTAGTCATCAAATGGTATATTCTCACGTTTACAAATAAATCATAATGCACAAATTATCTCTGGCGATCATTGAAAGGCTGAGATAATAAAAACGACAGTATTCTAAGTACTATCCATTAAGTAACCATTCTGATGCATGAAATACAATTGAAATTTTCCTCAATTTTTACTTATACTTGCAGTCTTAAGATGAAATCTCGAGAATTTCTTGACAGTAATATAAATTATTCCGACCCTCGGCATTTCGTGAGTCATATTTGCAAAACATTACAATGCACTTTGTGCTGAAAGTACTGGCAAAAATATCGATCAGCAAGGGAAGTCACACATAGGTTTATGAAATTAAGACACGGTAATAAGAAACAGGGCGACAGATTGGTCGCTTGCAATTTCTTCGACAATGTAATTAAATGAATATCAAATGAATAGAGGAAGAAATCTGATAGGCAGGTGTTTATACATAAAACTCATCTACAAAACATCACAAACTTAGAATTTATCATTAACTGTTAGATCGATGCATAAGGTCCTTCCGGTGTTCGAGTTTTCCAAAATAAAATCCCATTCAGTATCTTGATAGTACGTCAACATGCAGCTGATGTTGTGTATTGAAAAAATGTGTGCACACATATTCCCAACCAAAAGTAGTTTTAATTGGATGTCATTTGCATTCAATCTAAGTGTCGAGGTCTTCACAATCCAGTCAATCACCAGAAGAACGAGGAAGGGAGAGAGTAGACAGCCTTGTCTGACCCCGTTCCTTACTTGGAATGCATCTGTCAGCTGTCCTCCATGCACGACCTTGCACTGTAGTCCGTCGTATGAGTTGCGGATAATATTGACAATCTTCTCAGGAACTCCGTAGTGTCGAAGAAGTTTCCATGACGTCCTCCTATCTACACTGTCAAATGCCTTTTCATAATCAATGAAGTTGATGTGCAGTGTTGAGTTTCACTCAATTGATTGTTCAACGATGATCCGTAGTGTCACCATTTGATCTGTGTACGACCGATCTTTATGGAATCCAGCTTGTTGATCTCGAAGTTAGGCGTCTACTGCATCTTTCATCCGGTCCAGCAATACTCTATTAAAGACTTTCCCTGGTATTGACAGTAGTGTAATGCCTCTGTGGTTTTCACATTTGCTCAGATCTCCTTTCTTTGGAATCTTGATGAGGTGTCCTTCTTTCCAGTCCATCGGCAATTGTTCCTCCTCTTAAATATTTTTGAATAGTAGGTGAAGCATGTTTGTAGTTACTTCGATGTCTGACTTCAGTGCTTCAGCTGGTATGTTGTCGGGTCCTGCTGCTTTCCCGCTCTTGATTTGTCTGATAGCCATTCTGTTTTCTTCCGTCGTTGGTCGGTTGGCCTCTATAGAAAGATCTGTGTGTGCTGCTTCGATGTCCGGTGGATTCATTGGAGCCGGCCTATTCAGGAGTTCCTCGAAGTATTCTACCCATCTGTTCCGCTGTTGTTGAATTTCAGTGATTGGCTTGCCTTCTTTGTCCTTGACCGATCTCTCTGGTTTACTATATTTCCCTGAAAGTTTCTTCGTTGTGTCATATGGTCGTTTAATATTTCCTTCTCTTGCAGTATTTTCCATCGTCGTTGCTATTTCTTCCACGTATTTATGCTTGTCGGCTTTATTGCTCTACTTCACTTGCTTGTTTGCTTCCATGTATTCAGCTTGTGCTTTGAATTTCTCTGCTCGTGTTCGGCTGTTGTTAATTGCTGTCTTATTATTATTCCTTTCTTTGATCTTATCCAGAGTTTCTATAGAGATCCATTCCTTATGTTAGTGTTTGTATGGAAATATTGTGTCTCCTATGACAAATTTGTTGAATGCACACAGATTGGCAAATCTTTCTCCATTTTCGTTTCTTTCTCCCAGTCCATGTCGTCCCATAAAATCTTCATATCCGGTGTTGTCTATTCCGACTTTGGCATTTAGATCTCCCATTAGAATGGTGAGGTCCTTTCTTGGGCACTTCGCTATGATTGACTGAAGCCGCTCGTAGAATTGATCTTTAATATCGTCGTTGTTATCATTGGTGGGTGCATAACATTTGATAATATTCATTGTGATTCCCTCCTTCTTTGTTTTGAATGATGCTTTGATGATTCTGGATCCGTGACATTCTCATGCTACAAGTGCATTTCGTGCTACTTCCGACAGCATAAGACGGACTCCCTGAGTGTGTGGAGTATTTTCCTCTTCGTGACCGGAGTATAGCAGCATCTCTCCCGTATCTAGCGTTTGTTGTTCAGTGTGTTTCGCTGATTCCCAGTACTGCTAAGTTGTACCTCCTCATTTGCGTTGCTATTTGACTGGTCTTCCCGGTTTCCCACATTATTCGGACGTTCCATGTACCTACAAAAACGTTTGCTCTGGTTGTAAGAAGGGGCAACGGCATCATGGCTTCCGATGGAACTCGGCTTTAACCATGAAGCGTCATAATTCTTCTAAATGAAGACTTTCTAACTCTCAGGGTAGAGTTAAAATGGTTTGGATTGTTTTTCCTGGTTAGCGTTTTTTTAGCGAGTTAGTTTTCCACGGGATGGGGACGCTAACCCCATGCCCAACCCTTCTCCTTTACCCGGGCTTGGGACCGGCAGTAACTCTAGAAGAGCAAAAGGCGGAGTTAAGACCTGCTGTTCGAATATTCTAAGAAGCATTGTAATATATTCTTAACCTTCTAGCAGTCTAATTAATTTATCCTGCTTTTTCACTATTATCAGAATGAGTTTTGTGGAGATTTTAGGAAATTTCACAGGTTGAAATCATGAGTCAATTGAAACTAGACCACCATGGAAAACCTGGAAGCACTGGAAGGACGTTTCATCATAGTACAGGGCTCCTCAG